CAGAAAGGAGGCACAAAAGTTATATGTTAAATGACAGGATCAAGGCTATAATTACACCTATGAACATGTGCCATCGTCTTGCCATGGTGTCAGATGTTACAGAGTTCGTCTACAAAAAGTTCATCGCTGCACATTTAAACCGCTGGAATTTTACATAAATGTGTGTTCAGTGTTTTTGGAAAGTAAGAACGACTTTATGCAATCAAATCATGGCCAGGCATCGACTCCGCAGATGTTGGATCCAGGTCCCTCCGAATTTGATTTTAAAGTGCAAGGCAACTTCGTGCATGTCGCTGAAAACAATCGGGACGTCAGACAAGCTCCTTCTCATCGAGTCTTGCATGGAAGTGGCCAGCTACTGGAAGGAACTACAAGCAATGTAGTCCGAGTCTCCACCTCCCGAAGACACGAGCTACATGTACTTACTCCTGCTAGCGGACTTGACCATAGGTGACTATGTTGTGGGTGCAGACTATTTATTGGTGGAACGAGTTTTGCAAGGTCGAGACTGCAAAGTGGTTGTAAAACTAAGGAAGCCAGACGGCCTTTCTTACACTGTCGAGAGCTTGATGTTTTTCTTTTGTTATCCTATCCTTTGATCTCTTAATTTATATGTTGACCCCTCCCGTGTAAAATGTAAATTTCTAGGGGACACTCGAAATTGATTCGGGTTTAAGCTTTGAATTTGCCTAAACAGAGAGAAGGCAATGCCACAATAACCGGTTGGATGTTCTTGAATATCCCGTGCTTTCTAACATACATTTGACATCGTCCTAATTAAATATTATTTAATAAAGCTCGCTACTCATCGTGTCCTTCATGTCACTTGCAGAATATATCAAAAAGTATACCCGTGACTGCAGCGGAGGTTCAGCCACCGGGACATGTTCGCCGCCTCTTCTGCCAGTAGCTCGAGTTGAACGATTGCACGCTCTGGACCCGTTCATTTTGAACCATATGCCGTACTCTCAACCATAGCGAGATGATCGCTCGTCTACAATCCATGATGTCTCTGCACACAACCATTTAATGGCAACTACGGCAATTCCCCGCTATACCGCGCTTCACTTACCGGCTACCGCGGCTTCTCTTCATCGCGGTTTCCCAAGGAGTAATAATGAATGGCTTCAGCCACCGGGACTTGTTCGCCTGCCTCTTCTGCCATCTCGTCCCTATTAAAGTGACGCTAGTTTTTCTTAGAAACACTTATGCATGGTTGAATTAATAAACTAATAAACCATGCACTTTATCAGTGTGAGTCGATGAAAATTACTAGTTAAGACAAATTTTTCGAGTTGCCGGTCAAACATTGTAACATTGCGCAAAAACAGTTACGTATGTGCAGAAAATTTATTAATATACCAATCTTTGAACAGTTTTAATTCATCAAAGAAACTATGGGATTAGATTCCGTTGTATTTGGTGTTTTAATAATAAATTTTTGCAAGTGAGCTATAAATGCGGGTACCACACCCCAGAATTTGGAATGTTTCTCGTAGGTTCAGCAAGTACCAGTTGTATAGACTCGTACACAGATGGGTCATCTGAGGTAGAGCATGTAAGGCTTTAGTCGGGCTAGGGCGGTTAACGTACAGACTCTTCAGGCGCCGCCCCTCGTGTCGTGGCAGGAATCCAGTGTACACAAGAGATCTGTGCTCAGCTTAACATTCAACTTAATATTAGCGTTCTTTACCTCAACACAAGAAACTGGAATAACAGGTAGTGCCACGACACCGCCAGGAATAACTTTAGAAAGGAAATCAGTCTAATGATATCTATTCTAATTTTATCGAATTTATTAATGAATCCAATTTGATTCGCTATCACTGGCATTCACTGCATAAATTTGAGAATTATTAAATGGCGTATTCAGCTGTACGTACGAAAAGCAGACATATATGACGAAATTCAACATTTCCATTTTAAAGAATTTCAATTGGTAACTTAATTGAATAAAAATCAACATGAAAAAAAAAATTAAAAGATGATTGCAGTCTGAATGTGTACCTATAGCCGAAAATTACATAAATAGAGAACAGTGAAAAGCAAAACAATCACATTTGAAAATAATGAATGGATCATAACGCGTATTGAGAATATTAATAAATGATTGAAACCAAAATATCCATTCAGTCACAAAACACGAACTGAAAGCAATTAATTTCAGAGATTCTAGGAACAAATACCTTTACTTAGAAACAAACTAAAAACATCCAGTTGATCAAACTTAGATACTAATTTGCAGCAGAAAGCTTGACAATAGAGAAGCGTGTTTTGATCAAATGTTTGAGACATGTGAACGTATCGTCCGAAATTCACAGTTGAAAGAAAAAATCCAGGCTGCTTCGCGATCCCGAAATGTTGATAGCGACAATTTATTAACACTAAAGATTTATATGAAACGAATTTTCAGCAACAAGTCGCGCTTTCTTGGAGTGAAATCTCGCTAGTATGCATGCTTGAAATAGAATTTTCCAGGGAGAAGTTCTCACTAAATATGAAATATTAAGCTTTAACTTAACTCAATTAGGTAATTAACTTTAATTCTTTAACTAAACTTAACTTATCGTAATGTAAAGGTAACGTTAGAAAACTTATATTAATTTGCAATATAGATAGGAACCCAATAATTTTGCTCTCAATTCATCCCATTACGCTTGAAGAAGCATGCCCTAATCCTCTTCATTCGAATAGAATACGTGTTTTCAAACACAACATGGAACGAATGAATAAAGTTTGTAAAAATTCTAATTATAATTCGCACTCAAATTATGTAGATCATGTAGTATCTATTCCGTAAATCTATTAGAAATGAAGTCATTAATACATTGGAGGGATGTGATACGCGTTCTTTGAAAATCCAGACCAGGATATTTCTTCAGCGCACATGTCATACCAAAACATTAATATGAAACAAAGTCAAATTTAAGTTCGACTTCTTTCTGACGGCTCTTCCATACGTTTGGTTGCTTTAAATCGTATGAAAATTTGAGCGAGCTAATAATTGCTGGCATTTTTCGTTCACGCGGTGTGGTATACAGCAGCAAAATGAATCAACGAGGTCAGCATGGTTCGTAACAGAAGTGAAATTCATGTTTTGTTAAATACTGTACTCAACACTCGGATTTCCCAGCGGTTAATAGAAAAGTTTAAAAAGATGGAATGCTGAAATCTAATTTGGTGTAACGAGAGCATTGTGCAGCCAGATGTTGTTGTTGGGCTTTCTCGAATGAATAATTATTCATTGAGTGTAAGTTAGTAAGTAGATGTTGCGCTACCTCCATCTTCCGGGATTTCTGGTATGATGAACTCCACGCTCGTACACAATCCTTAATTGCTCTTAGTTTGTTCTTTCTCACGTTTAGCCACTGTTCCCGCCAGATATGGCGGATGCTTGCCTTGATGATAGGGTAGTGGTCCCGGCAAGGGACTTGATCGCTATGGATCGCCTGGTCCGAAGAGGCGGCGTTTACCATTTGAAGTGTATAGCCGTCGTTTTTTCGTTGGAAAAGGAGAACCCGTGAGTTGTGGTCCATTGGTTAACGCGGTTTATGGCAGTCTGTATTTTGCGCGTGAGGGTCGGTAGGTATCTGGATGATGCGTAGATCATGAAGTCATCAACGTAGAGTGATGATTGTACGGAGGTAAGGCGGTGAGGCGGTGGTGATATAGACACCCTGGGACCCTCAAGCCACCAGACTTGATCTAGACACTGTAATGATCAGGTCTGGTGGCTTGAGGGTCCCAAGACCTAATATTGGCCAGTGCAACGTTGAACTTGCGGCACCACTCTACTCGTTCCTCCGAGCTGTCCGCCGACAACAAAAGCCTGTGATTGAATCATGGATTAGCATTAGGAGTCACTGCAGGCGATTTGTGCGATGTAAAATTGAAAGAAAGGCATATCACATCCACAACATTCAACTAAGTCTGAGAGCGGTTGATTTCAGAAATTCTAGGAACTAATGTCTTTACTTAGAAACAAACTAAAACAATCCAGTTGGTCAAACTTATTAGAACTCGCAGCAGAACGCTTGACAATATAAAAGCGTGTTTTAATCAAATGTTCTAGACGTGTGAACGTATCCCCAGAAATTCAGCTGAGAAAAATAAACTTCAGGCTACTTCGCGATCCCGTAATGTTGATACCACACATAAAACAATTTATTAACACTTTAAGATTTCTAAAAACGAAATTTCACCTACAAGTCTCGCCTTCTTGGAGTGAAATCCTGTTAGTAGGCATGCATGAAATATAGTTTTCCCGCGAAAAGTTCTCACTAAATGTGAAATATTAAGCTTCAACTAAATTCATAAATTTAATCAGAAATCCCAATTAAAAATAGGAGTAGATGAAATGCCGATCTCATTGTAAACGTACCCTTAGAAAACTATTTTAAAATTACATATTGATAGGAAGTGAATAATTCTGCTCTCAATTCATCCCATTACGCTTGAAGAGACACTTCCGGATCCTCTTCATTCGAACAGAATCGTGTTCTGTTAATTACGCAACAACATTGATCAAATGAATAAAGTTTTTAAAAATTCTAATTATAATACGTGCTCAAATTATGCAGACCATCTAGTATCTATTTCATAAATTTATTAGAAATGAAGTCCGTTAATAGTACATGGTAGGAATGGGCTACGCGTTCCTCTGAAAATCCAGACCAGGATATTTCTTCAGCGCACATGCCATACCAAAACATTAATATGAAACAAAGTCAAATTTCAGTTCGACTTCTTTCTGACGACAATACCACACGTTTGGATTGCTTTACATTGTATTGAAAATTTTAGCAAGCTAATCATTGCTGGCATTCACCGTTGACGCCGTGTATTGTGAAGCAGCAAAATGAATTAATGAGGTCAGCATGGTTCGCAGTAGAAGTGCAAATTCATGTTGTTAATTAATTACTGTACTCAACATTCCGATTTCCCAGCGATAGAAGAAAAAGTTTAAAAAGATGGAATGCTGAAATCTAATTTGATGTAATGAGAGCATTGTGCAGCCAGCTGTTGTTGTTGGGCTTTTCCGATTGAATGATTATTCATTCTCAGTGTGCCAATACTCGTGTACTTGCATAAAAAATCGAAACTCGTTCAATGACGCCTGCTGATAAGCCACTGCAATCGTGGATCCAAAGTTCGTGGTTCCTGAGACAAGAAATGATGTTATGATTTTAAATAAAAATGGATATTGAAATGACAGCTGAACGTGCATCAATAGAAACCAACATAAAGCTGTCAAAGATTTTTTCTTCGTTATTTGCTCATGTGATATCACATGTTTGACACAAGGACAAATTTGTGCAAAATCGTTTATTAAAAAATTGTAAACAAAATCGTACGTAGTAAAAGATTCTAAATAATTTGTTCCGAAATGATTTCTTCAATAAAATTTCTCACTTGGCTCAGAGCACAATAAAAAGTATCATTATAAAGTGTTAATTTTTTTCATAAAGCAGTTAGTATGAAGGGCGAATGGAAAATAACTGCTTTTGGTACATTTTAAAATTTTATTTCGACACACATTTTTATCTATAGGATTGCTGTGAATATAGAGTGAAATATATATCAGAATATAATATATAGAGTGAAAGGTATGTGAAAACCTATAGAATGAAAATTGCTATTGCGCTGCTTCAGAACACATTGCTTCACAAAGCATGTAAGTAACTCACCGCTTGCCTTTAGGAGTGCTTGGGAGCAAACGTGTGACCACGCCGCTGCATCGCTCCCAGTCTCCATCTTCCAGTTTCACCAAGTGCAGTCGGTACAGCCTGTTGGTCTTCGGCTCCAGGCACTCCACGATATCGTTCTTATTGATGCTTTTGTTGATGGCAATATCAGCAATATCTGCATGGACATCAGTTATGAAAAGACTGGTCAAAATCCAGTTTTTAGATCTCTTGAGAACAAGTTATGAATGAAAAGTACAAGGATCGGCGACAGGTAACAGGCTTATTTTTTCAGCGCCGACTCATCTATGTAATGTTATGAAAATATTTGCTCAAAATAGGTTGAATGGCATGCATATAAATTTTGAAAATCCATTAATAGAAATGCGAATACTTTTCTCAATCTATATCAAGTATTTTACTTCAATTCGAATGAAATGGCAAGCAGATGAAAACAATGCTTAATAGCGGAATAAAAAAAGTCTCATACATACTCCGATCCATTGAAGTATTTGACATATATCCGCTGTTCAAACGGCTGTGAAGGTGTTGGAAATTTAGGAAATTTAACGGATAACAACCGTTTCTCATTCATATATCATGAATCAAAATATGTGCATGATGTTTGAGGTGGGAAGGAAATTTATACATTTATTCATGGAGTTTCGATTTCAATTGGTCCTAGAACCTCAGGCTTGAAATTTTCCATATAGCTCTGTACATTGTAGACGCTCACCTGAATCTAAAAATGGGGGACTTGCAGGCAATGAGGATGGAGAATAATAATTAAATTTTAAAATCACAATGAAGCAGAGCCTTACAACACTTTAAAACAGTAATTTCGGACTCAATTAAGAACTGACCTGCTATGAACGGCTCTCCGGTCACCAGAGCCAAGGCTCCATTCTTAGCTAACTCTTCGCCTGGAACTGCAAGCAAATTACTTTCAATTATCACAACCGGGGGGGAATTATTAACACAATTGATGTTTTTGATTGCTTATAAAATACAATGGGCCTGTCCTTGGCTATTTCATTTCATGTCGTATTCAGGGTGTCACATTCAAAGCCACAGTCTAGGTCGGCTGTCAGTTCAGCTATAGCCAGCAGTCATTCATGCATTGACGAGCGTTCAGACAAGTTACTCTGCCAATCTTAATTCTCATTTTTAGAACAGCATTTAGCCAAGAGGTGATTCAGCTTCAACTGCAGTCACCGTAGCAGCTTCCTGCGTGCTGTTTCACGATCATTATGTGGGTGTAAACGGTGTTATCAATTCATTTTTTATGTCAATTCATTTTATGTTATATACACTAGACACATAATTTTTTTCAATTTGATTTTCTTCACGAACCTCAACTTTCAATACATGCCAATTATTATACCAACAGGTAAAAACAATACTTTTATATTATATTCAAGATCTAAGGTGATTGAAGTGTATGGAAAATTTTCAGTCCTCTTGATGAAAGTGAAACAAGAGGAACAACACATCGTTGCCAGATGGCATCATTGCCTCTTTCCACTCAATCCATTTGTGTAATAACTCAATTTTTATGCTTAATAAAATTTTTTGTCCAATATCGTTCCACATCAGATCTAATAACCAAATTCAAAGCAAGTTGAATTCAAACTTCTTTTTCCTACAATTTAATTAATAATTTATATATACTTTTGCAATTTATACTGTTGTATTATTCTCAAGCATTATGCAATTACAATCTATTATCATTTAGTTAAGCTAACCTTTGTAAAGTCCATAGCCTTCATGGGAGGCAGTTCATACTTAACCGTCAGTAACTTTACTTGTTCCATTGTTTTATATTCCATCCAATATTGTTTAAAATAAAACTTCATTTTAACATCTTGTATGTCAATTATTTATCCAAGTCTTACCAAGATCGATTAACACAGCATACAATAAAAGGATTCTAAGTTACTGCAGTGCACCTTATTAGTTATTAATTATCTTTCAGCGACCTAATTTGCTTGTGAGCCATCACTCACTTGTGCTTCTCACTCAAAAACTCCAAATTTGCTACCTAAAAATTCCATTCTAGCACATCAAACTTTCTAGTAAAATCTGATACATAATAATTATTATTTATTGGCATTCTCAGGATGGCTTTAAATCCTATTAGACTCTATCTATATTTTATATCTTTTACCTACACCATTATTGGTCCAATTCAGCATCCACTGCTAAGTTAAATTGGATCAAAAGTTAACTCTCCCTCAGTTGATACAGTAACGTTGTAGGAAAATAATAACAAACCACCAACAGAATCAGCATAGCAGCGCCCAGTTAATTCACTCTATTTTTTTGTGTACAACTGTCAATTTGTGGAAATTCATTATAAGTAGCACCTTTGTTTGAATCACATGCCATAATGGTCATGGGATACTGTAGAGGATTGTACATTTGAAATAACATAAATCTATTTTCAATTTAAGTTGCATTGTTCATGAAATTGCTAACTATGCATTTTAAAAAAAATAGAACCATTGAACCATTCGTTAAAAAATAGAACCATTGAACGTACCAGGCTCAACGCTAACAGCACCAAAGTTGTCATTCAGGATCTTGTTGACATCAGCCACGTCAGCTCCAGACTGGAGGTGCAGCCCAAGCTTCGGTAGTTCAGCAACACCAAGCTTGGCCCAAGCGGTGTACGTCAGGTGACCGTAGAATGATGCTAGGTGATCCCTGTGAGAAATTAATTTGTTATTTTGGCTTAATGTGCAGGGCATTTCACGAGGTTGCATCAAGATCATGAGATGCTGACAATGTGATGGACATGCATTTGACTGCCAGCCATTGTATTTTAGGATTGATATTGTACTTTAGGATTGACAGTTTTAGGATGCAGACTAAAAACAATATCAGATATAATTTAATTGGCAATGAACTGGATTTACACATACCCAAAGTTTTGGCGCAAGAAAAGTTTCAGTCGGATGGAATCATCTGCCCTGCTGCTGTTGCCATTGAAAAAAGTATCCAACAATTGGAGGTGTATATCAGTGCGACTCTTCATCAGGTATAAGAGAAGATCTTGCAGGCTAATGATGGGGTCTTCCACAGAGGATACCACTGTAACTGTGGCCTCTTCACCTGCAGGAATAGATGACCGAGCTTGCACAATTTTCTTGCTCATTTTTTCTCCTCTAATGACAACGTTTTCTGCCAATGCTGAGAGCTCTTTCGGCAGCAGGTGTCGCTTCTCAGCTTCCAGATCTTCATTCAATGACTATAAAAATAAATTAAAACCAGTATTAATCATGAAGAATAAAATACTTAAAAAACTTTTTTAAAAAACACGTTTTTCGTGTGGACTAAAAAGTAGGAAATAAATTATGGTTCGCCCCAAAAAAACGTGTGTCGGGCAGATTTATGATTAAAGCGAAAAGCACACAACACTTAAATTTTGGTAATTTGATGGTGAACGTACAGCCGGACCCACGTTTTTTTGGGGCGAACCATAATTTATTTCCTACTTTTTAGTCCACACGAAAAACGTGTTTTTAAAAAAGTTTTTTAAGTATTTTATTTTCTACTTTTTAGTCCACAAGAAAAACGATTAAGACTTGATTAAGTATGACTTGACGTACGTATCGATGATACGCAGCGTTAGCGCCTGCTCGTCTATAACGTGAGCGCCCGCACGTCATACTATATATTTACTATATAGATACTTTACTCAATTAAACTAATTTCGGTCTCTAATTACTAGTTTTTATGATTGTATCTGAAATTGTTAGGCGAAAATAGCCTGCATGCCGAATTTCAGATCTCTGGAACAATCAGAAGTGGGCTAATTTTCGTTGTCAATGTTAACAACAAACAAACAAACAAACGCGAAGCTAAGCTAAGAAAAACGTGTTAAAATATAACTATTCAACAAAAAATATTAAACAATAGAACTATTCAAGAAAAATATTAAACAATAGAAACATTCTTCAAAAATATTTAAAAATATAACTATTCAACAAAAAATATTAAACAATAGAATTATTCAACAAAAAATATTGAACAGTGAAAATATTCAAGAAAAAATATTAAATACTTTTTATTTGTGTGCAGGAGAGTTGACGATGGCGACGAGCCTGTCCTCCCTGAGCTCGAGTAGCAACAACAACAACAGCAGCAACATGCCCCCCAGCCGGGGGGTGTCACGCCTGGGACAAATGCAGGTAATATTGTGATAAGTGTTATGTATATTTATATAGTATGCAGGCATATTATGTCTAATATTATGTAATTTATGCATATAATATTATTTTATATAGTATATAGTATTGCATGTCGCTTATAAGTATACATGGTATTATTCCGGTAAGATATTGCTATGTATTACATGCTCCTTTTCGTTGTATTTAATATTATTCAGGTTAATCTATTCTTAGTACTACATGCAGCTTATTGCTGTACTTGGTAGGTATTATTTGGGAAACTTAACGCTACAGTGATCGCTTAATTACATACGTAATCCACGCGACAATAATTGTATAGGTTTGAGTTACCTACCCTAGAAAATTACGGTCAAATTTCGCCTACATGGCTGCCAGATGGCTTAAAATGACCAAGTCTGCTGACAAAAATTCCTATAATTCAATATACAGTAGTAAATTTGTAGGTTCCGGGGCAAAAATTTAATTTTCCTTTTTTACCGCACTTTTTATAATATAATATGGAAGCACCGGTATAATAAATTTTTGTCGGTCAACGCAATTGAAGAAACAAAATCGCGGAATTTGTCCGAAAAAAAGACCCATCAAGCCACCTATGGGTCGAGCCGCACTCAACGTGTTAATTAATGCCTTGTATTCCATTTTGTTTATCGGGAATGTTAATTGCATCGCTTTCATTTAATGTTGATTCATGATCTTGGCATTGTAATTATTCTATACACGATAATTGATTGATTTTGGTAATCATTATAATTGATTAATTATAATTTTTATAGTGCCCATTATACATCTCTTGTATAGCAATAACACACATTGTGAAAAAAGGCGTGTTTGTTGCAACTCCGGCGTTTAGTTTCCATCACTGACGTACTCGACTATTATATCCATTGATTATACAATAATACACATAGGAAAATCTTTAATAATTTGTACTAGCCAATAACATATAATTGCGCTCCTGATTTTAATACTACTGTTAGCAGATATTTTTTACTTGTGATTGGTGAGGGTAATATGCATTGACATGGGGAAACAATCTTTGTATTTTGTTATTCGTTTATTAATTGCTGGATCCCATGGTCATCAGTAGAAGAAGTTGTTTTAGTTCATGTTTTGTCTTAGACAGTTCCGTCATTGAGCATGAATCATGCATGATTCACTTCAGCGCCCGGCCGTTGTTCGCTTCTCACTATCCCACCAAATTTCCTTTTCAATGAGTGACGCTAGGAACGAATATAAAATGTTTCCACTGAATAATTCATCTTCACTTGTGTGCCTGACTCTACACCATGTAGATATATATATCTTCCTTTTGATTTTTTTATTTTCGAATTTTGTTGTAGGACTTTAATGAGATGAAGGATCCAGTGAACGATTCCCGTTCCATGGATTCGTTGAGGTTGCAGATTCCTGGAATTGGTGACGTGCTTTATAGGAACGGAAGTTTCATGGTCAGGAAGACTTCCTCTACGCATAGCGTATATCAACTATTACACGAAGATTTATTAACGTTACCATTGAATAACTTCTCATATGGGTTATTTTTAAACATTTCATGATTATAATCGTAGTTGAACTTGATAAACGTATCATTGTTAAGAGATAAGCGGAAATTTCTGATCACCGACGGACGCAATAGCTGCGTCGTTGTCATGGCAACGTACAGCTAACAGAAGAAGATGGTAGAGAGGACGCTTTCCTACTGTCATGTTCAGTGTCCTGTTGAGGTGTGGAGCTATAACAGGGGTGTTCTTCTGCGGGAAAGGTTAATCCACTTAAGTGAAATATAAGAACAAGGTTATTTTTCCTACGTAAAAGGTTCAACCGTTTAGGTGGGATGGAGGAACATGGTTGTTCTTTTTACCTGAAAGGTTTGTCTCTTTAGGTGGGATTGAAGAATAAGTTTGTTCTTTCTACGTGAAAGGTTGATCCCTTTAAAATGGGATGGTAGAACAATGTTGTTCTGTCTACGTGAAAGGTTTTTCCCATTAAATAGGACATGACAAAATTGTTCTCGTGTGTGCAGGGTATATCCGTTTAAGTAGGATGCCAGAGAACGTTTTCCCTTTCGCTTAAAGTCACGTACAATAACAGAAAAAGTTTCTTGCATTTATATCGTGTTATTTTGCACAAAAATTTGATGCCCGCTGCTTATAAAGATATTTTCTGCACAGCCAGGTTTCTAGATCTAGCCTTGAACATCCCTAATTCTTGCCGATCAAAAGGTGACCTTTACGTCCAGTATATATAGCCAGATAATAGGCGCGTGATCGATGACAGACTGTATTGACATTAAGGCGCTTCCAATTCTCGACTTGTCAATTTATCGGAGTTCCAATTTGAGGTGCATGAGAAACTAACTTGTAAACGTATAATGAGTGCATGAGGACTGCTGAGAGTGGCTTGCATATGTACTCATAAGACACGTATTACGCAGTGAATATAGCTAGTAGACTTTTTTGTGAGCGTATTCGAGAGTGAAAGTAGTCTAATTTATTGGACTTCTCAATGAATTAATGAATCGTCGCTTCAACAATGTTTGCCTACGAACGGCATTCATACAAAATCTCACTCATTTCCACGAGTGTGTCCCCTTATCCTGCACCAGGCCCAGGCCCTATATTTTATGTTGAAATTACACTCATCCGTGAAACCGTCCTTTATTGAGAAAAAATTAGTAACAGCAATGAATTGGAGAAAAATTATCTGAGAAGCATTTTTTATACCTTTTTACGATGTTTACATTACTGAGCTAATTTTTACATGTAATATTATTGTATTTCTTATGGACGTGCTTTTCGAAACAATGTGAAAGAAAAAGAATTGAAAGCAACGAAAAATGAACTTTATTGAAGGAAAGAGATTAGCGATATAATTAAAATTGTCGATAACGTTCATAATTGTAATTAGCCAGATCCCTTGATAAGAATCGGTGGGTATTGTGGTTCAGTTGTGAGTGTTGCCTAAATATAAATCAAATAAAACAATAAATTCTTGTTCTTACTCATTGTCGGTGAGTATTCATAGGATGAATATGTCAGTATGTACTTAATTAATGAATATAGGGGTTAGTGTAACTATGAGTCATAGCATCCAGACGTGAGTTGTACTCGGCAAAAAGTTCTTCCTAGCCACAGTGGATTTACTGTGGCGTCTCGACTCTATTTTCATTCGGGTGAGTGTTGTGCTATACGACTTTGCGTTTAACTGTTGATTTTTTTATTAGCCCTTGTCTTTCTATTTACCAACCGTTCTTGTTCTTCCGTATATTAAGAGCATGAGTGATTTAACAACAGGAAATTGAACATACGGAAGTTCTATTGCCAAAAAATACTTTGAGACGTTGCCTTATTGATTATGCCCACCATCTATCTACCTGGTAATGGTCCTTGTCTCTAGATTCTTAAGACCATCTATGCAGCATTTCATTTTTATTAACTTTTAGCTGCCTCGGAAACTTTTATTATGTAGGCCATGACAGAATAATGGATTGCCCCAGGGCCCAGAGCAGCCACATGCATGCACGTTATTGACCTAACAATATCAGATCAACTGAAGTTCTTGCCTAAGAAGTTGTAAGGAGGAAATAACCTTGCACTCTCCACACTGTCTAAGACAGATTTGAACATAATATTTCTTATCTTATTAGTGTTATAAACATTTCTACTATTTAGAACACGATGACTGAGTATAGGAACAGTATGGATATCTTCACAAATCACATGCAAACTCCTGCTATAACAAGGATATGAATGTTCATGAAACTGATGGTTGAAGAGAGCTACTCAGCATGGCACGACGATCAAACTCGTATTCATCTCTTCAACGTCGTGGGACAATTGAACTCTGTTCAATATTGCGTGACAATTGAACTCGAACGGATCTGTTCAACGCTGCGTGACGATTTAACTCGAACGGATCTGTTAGACATTTCGTGCATGATGATCGAACTCAAACGGATCTGTTGATCATTGTGTGACGATCTAACTCAAACGGATCTGTTAAACATTGCGTGATGATCGAACTCAAACGGATCTGTTCAATGTTGTGTATGGATAAATTGCTCTGATCTGTTTTGTTCAATTAACGTGGCGTGACGATTTAACGCGAACAGATCTGTTCCGTTACATGAAAAATCAAGTTTAGTCTAATGTGTTCGCCGTAACGTCACTTTTTAGTTACGAGCTCCCATTTATAAGGACAGCATATCACTGACGGCTGTTCAAGGTAAAAACGCCAATCAGAGACAAAAGACCAGCCGTTAGTTCTACTATGACCTTTACATGCATTTAAGTGAGTTCTGATAGCACGACCTCTGTTTATCGTAGGATGATTATTGAACTTGAACTGATGTGTTTACCGTTGCGTGAAAATCGAACTCGATGAAATCCATTGGAAAGCTTGTATTGTAGCGGCGCAATCGATGAGTTTGGAGTGGAATGTTAGTTCTGACTGCGGTTGCCATGAGCCCGTCGTTAAAGGTTTATGATTGGTGACTTGTAATGAACGATTTTACATACAAACTTAGAATTGGAATTCTGTTTCAAGTCTATGTTTATTGTTTATGTTCTAAAATCTAATTGAATACTGCCGCATTTAATTTTTCGGAAACTATTGAAAGCGTCGAACGAGGACTCAAGTGCAGTCATATATATTGGGGTTTATTCAGAACTTGCTTATAGTGATATCTGTGCTTATCCTTGTTTGTGCAAACTTTTTATTATTTACATTGGTGTCTGTCGAAACATATGCATTTATGAAGCGTATCATTTTTTCATATGAAAAAATTTAAACGAATTTTGTCCTGTTCTGCATGGTAGATTCATATATGTTTAAGAGCCATGAATTATTCAGATGTGACTTATCGGTATGGGCGCATAGAACAAGTCTATTGCCATACGTAGCTACGTAATTCATAATTCTCATTTTAATAATTTGTTCAAATATAGTAGCAATGTTCGAGTAATTATCGAGAGTAGCAGTTTGTAGTACACTTCAGTATATCGATAATCGGTTCATCTGCCTCGATCAGTATTGTTTACAGCAGAATTTTGCAAAATTTTTACGATTGATCCGCTCACCTTAGTAAATTGTAAAATCTGTAATGCTTACAACGTCTTCTAATTTGCTGTATTTAATTTACCTATTTTAACCGATTACAAATGCTCAACCTTCACAAAAATTTCTACTTAAGTCTTGAAAATATCCAGCGTCTGAAGTCATTTCCTTGACTTGGAGCTAATTTGTACGTGTTTATGTGAACGTGTTTTCATATGGAGGAGCTTTTCAAATGTATATGGAAGGAAAACTTTTGATTATAACAATAGTTGAGCCTTATTTGTAGAAAAACGATGATGATTTAAAGAGAAGCTAGTTTTAATTTTCGTATAAAGTTTTAGTTGGTTGATGTCAAGATATTTATTCACTAGTTTCCAGAAAATTTTCAATTGATTTAATTGTTATCGTGCTGCACTCTACCGACAAGATTCCAACATCAAATTAAGAATAACATCTCATTGCTACAACTAACATTTTTTCAATTTAATTACTATCAGGGTTGCGCTAAACCTACAAGATTCAGGCACCAAGTTAACTACGGTATAACATCTCTTTGCTACAACTAACATTTTTTCAGTGAATAATATCATTAGTGTTCAGCCTCAGATTTACCCAGATGTCATTTTGTGGCGTTCATCAAAGCAATACAACGCGTGACCTCGCTGTATCGATCTCAGATCAGTAGAAACTCGGATTATTATTCCTCATAAATGGCTTAACATTTTGTATCGTTAGCTCTCCTGAACAGTAGAAAAAAATGATGAACTTTTTGCAGTTCAGGCGCCGTAGTATCTCTGCTCCTCCACTAGTGAGTAAAAATGCACATATCATATCAGCACTAGTATCATGATTATAAGTCATATACAATAACTTCTCATTGCAAATAACTGGTATTGTTGCGTTCGTGTTTTATTCACACTAATACTAGCAAGCAAATACTTTTTCTGTAGTATCGGAGTAAGTATTTGAGAAACAAAATGTCATATTTTATCGCCTAAAATTAAGATTATTTTTGATGTTATCTTAATTCTTTATCAGGTTTAGCGTGAACTGGTATATATAGTACGCTCTGAAGGCTCTGGCGAATGAAATGTAGGATCATTACGAGCCAAACGCAGGTTAAATTGTTGAGAAAACTACAAGTAAATTTCAATTAAACCTAAAACCTTTGCCAGATATAACGTACACTATCAATATGCGCATTCAAGTCTCCAGCGTAAGAATGAAAGCCCTTTACAAGAATGTTTTATCAATGTATGATGATAACGAGTCTTGAAGTAATACTCCATAAAGACGGAAGAAAGAACCCCTTCATCGTTAACTATGACATATTTTATATGAGTCACTTGAGATTAAATGGCTCAAAGTGACATAAGCGCAGCTGGTGCAAAGATGGCTTTTGTTTGATTATTTTTCACCGTGATTTAATTCAGAAATCATCAGTGTTTTATTAGTAGAATAAATTTTTAATAAATGAACAACTTATTATGGCAAATACTCTACGTGTGACGCCTGATGACACAGAAGGCTTTTCTTTGCCACTTCATAAGCTTCGTAGGAAAAGAAATATTATAGAAGAATAAAATATGCTTTACTCCATCGAAAAGTCTATCCTCCATCGTCTCTATCTGTATGGAAGTATTAAAGTTGATATGTTACAGACAAGACCCTGGGAGCAACTGATGGCGAGACGGCAGATGTAGGTTTTGCGCTTGAAAAACAACAAATTTTTACTGCGTTTCATTCGATGTGTGGTAGGTGCAGCTGCAGAAGCAGCTGATGGTGGAGAAGGCATACTTTTGCTGTTTTTTTTTTCTTTAAAAGAGAAAAAATTATTAAATACATTTTACTGAAGACTTGCATTTGATGTGCGACAGGCGCGGCTGCAGGAGCAGCTGATGGTGGAGAAGGAGTCGCGTCTGCTGGAGATGGCGGCGCGGCAGGAGGCAGAGAGGGACTCTACCATCCAGAGAGTAACCAAGTCCTCGGCATCTTCCCTCAGCTCCTCACTGTCCTCACTATCCCTAGGATCCTCTTTCTCAGGACAAGGAAGGGTCAGAAAGTTATTTGAGGACCGACGGTCAACAGGCTACGATAAAAGTTACCCTTTAAATCCCGTCAGAGGGAAACCCAGTGACGCCAAACCTGCTGTTCGCGGGATAGTCAAAAATGGACCAAGGAACGGACCTCCTGCCCCCAACAGAGGCGGCTACAGCAGCGGGTATGGACAAGCCCGGTCTAGAAGTCAGGTCTCTGCAGATCCTAGAGTCCCCAAACAAAACTTAATCAACAGACAGAACAATAACAACGGTGCCGGTGTGTTATCTTCTCATAAATCCAACCCTTCCCTGCTCGATGCTGATAATTCTGGCAGCTACAACAACAACAGCCGCTACGGCAGACGTCCTAGCCGCGACATGCGGTCGCCATCGCCTGCCGTTAACGGGTGAGTCGTTGTTTGAGTTCTCAGATTCTTGATTACGAGTTAAGTCTCTAAACAATTATTTTAGTGTGAATTTAATGTCACAACAAATATTTGAATGTAAATTTAATGTTACGACAATTATTTGAGTGCGAATTTGATGTCACAGCAAATATTTGAGTGTGAATTTAACGTATAACAGCAATTATTTGAGTGTGAATTTGATGTCACAGCAAGTATTTGAGTGTGAATTTAATGTCAAAACAATCATTTGAGTTGAATGTGATGTCACAACAATTATTTGAGTGTGAATGTGATGTCACAACAATTATTGGAGTGTTAATTTAATGTCACAATAATTATTTGAGTAAGAAATTAATGTCATAACAATTCAATTATTTTAATGTGAATTTGATGTCACAGCAATTATTTGAGTGACGATTTCATCTCGCGACAATAATTTTATAGTGAAATCAATCTCTAAATATTCGATTGTGAACTCACCCTCTAAATAATCATTTAATGATGAGTTATATTTCTAAAGAGATGTCTGAGTGTAAACTTGATATAAAAACGATAATTGATTGTGAACTCAATCTCTTTCTGGTTTCCTTATTTTGTATTCATTTTTTTAATGATTAATAGCTTATTTCTGACTAACTTACACTCATTTTCGCTGTTGTCCAATAGTACGGAATCGAAGTCTCTCTCTAAACTGGACTGAGAATAATATTTATTTACTATCGTATACAGTCTAACAGAACTATATATTAATGGAGGAAACTAGCAAGCATGTAGTGCCTGTGGTGCACCCAAAGTTTTGTAAATTATTGATGGTATTGGTCCTACAATAACAATATTGTTATGGTTTCGATTGTTTCGTAAGAATTAATGTCGATTCCATCGTGTCCTAACAACGTCTAATCAAGGTTATGTCCAAAATTTAACCAACATTCATCATTTGCATCAAAGGATATCAACATACAACGAAATGTCTGAAAATAAAGGTTCTAACACATTAAACTACGAAATTTTGAATATTTTAGCTATTTTTTTCAATTCCAGTTCAGTTAGAATGCCCGCTATGGACCAGTCGTGTCTTATCCTGTTTGACACTTTTTCGTTCATCATAACGTTCATCATCACTTTTTCGTTCATCATAAGCTGTATTTTCATCCATGAGTTTATACTCATGAAAGCCATTTTCAATCGTTCTCAAGATGGAGGAAAACTCAGATAATGAACACGAAATTTCTAGTCAGATTTTAGCACTGAATTACTGTCCTGTTCATGATTATTTATTTTTCGTTACCTTTACAAAATTGAATTATAGCATGCAATTTTTATTTAAAAATTTAAGTTTCTCAACATTTAATGGTTATTGACTGGTCTTCATTCAATACCAAATACAATTCAATACAAAGCTTTAAAGGCGTTCCTAACGATACTGTTCATTACATGATAAATAGTTTATGATAGGTCTTGTATGCCGTAATTCTCCACTCATATTTTTTATTCATCGATAAAACGTGTGCCTCCTTGGAGTTAATAAAGCAGTCGTTTCCTGCTGTTTTTGCGCATTGTTTTTCTGTGTGTACTTTAAATAAAATATTATAATTAAATGTTAAAATTAACTGAGCTAAATCTTTTTTTTAATGGTATTAACCCTTGCTTGTTTGGCCCAGAAGTGGACCCTCACCCATCCCTCCTCCTTCCGCCGCCCCCCTCAAAAGACCCCCTCCCAAGAAGCCTTCCCCATCACCATTAAAGGTGAGACTTAACTATATTTTAACTAGCATTAAATTATCTATTTTAATTAGCGTAAAATTATCTATTTTAACTAGCGTTAAATTATCTATTTTGACTAGCGTAAAATTATCTATTTTAACTAGCGTAAAATTATCTATTTTAAACAGCGTAAAATTATCTACCTATTATGAAAAGTTATGGTTAATGTATGTGAGAATATACTCAACTACTAAGAAAGGGAAAATCATTGTCGAACATACGCGATGGTAGATCAGATGTTCCTCTCAGTCTCTTATGTTTGTTTTAGGTTCTTATGAAAAGTCCTACGCATATATTGAACATTCAGCGCAAGCTCAAATGTTTGTCCGGATATCTTACGGAAAGTTATTCGCACGTTTTGAACATTCAAAGTAAGTTTAGATTTTCCGTATCTATGGAATGTTATTTACATGTTTTGAACATGCAATTCGAACTCAAATGTTCAGTAGCTTATGGAAAGTCATTCACATGTTGTAAATATTCCACTAAAACTCAGATGTTTGCTCAAGTACCTTATGGAAAGTCTTCGAATGTCTTGAAAACCGAAATGTAAACATTCATGTTTGAATATTCTAGGGATACTATTGAAATGGTTTCAAGTTAGAATAGAAAATCCATAGCATTTTGAATATCTAAGGAAAATCTCAAAGCAAGTAAAGCAAGTTAGACACACAATGGAAACTCCATCGCATGTCTGAGTGCTAGAAATAAATAACACACCTGATTATTCTTCAGGAATCCTTTTGCCTGTTTGAGGATCAACAGCCACTCAATTTAATGTCAGTTTCTCTTATAATCTTCTTAGATTTTCTTTAGAAAGCTGCTCGATTTAATCCGCGCTGCGTTCCGCGCGTGCGGACGCCGTTCGTTCTACCTAGCGCAATGTAAACAAGCGGTTGCCATAGCGACCACCCCTGTTTCACTGCACGTGCACGCAACTTTCTTTCTCGCACATTATTGATTATCATTGTTAACGTCATTAGTTACATGGGCTTGACTGGACCATTGTATTGATTTGTGGCGTAATTACCGTCAGATCTTCATTCCAAGGAAAGTTTCTCGTGTTTCAGACATGGACATCAAACATCAAAAGGTAATTCATTTGTTAACAACTGTAATTATTTATTTAATATTACTAGCAGGTTTGGACGGCTTGGCTCGAGTCATAATCCTTGCTATTATGAAACCCTTTATTCGAAATTTCGTCATCTTTAAACCGGACATCCCAAACCCTTTTGTTCCGAATCCATTTAATATTCTCGAAACGAAAGTACAACAATTGAAGAATGGTTCATAAAAACCCACTTTAGGCACAAAAATCGCATTCAAGTGATGTTATAATAAAATACTTAAAAATACTTTTTAAAAAAAACACGTTTTTCTTGTGGACTAAAAGTAGAAAATAAATTATGGCTCGCCCCAAAAAACGTGGGTCGGGCAGATTTATGATTAAAGCGAAAAGCACACAACACACGAATTGTGGAAATTTGATGGTAAACGTAAAGCCCGACCCACGTTTTTGAGGCGAGCCATAATTTATTTTCTACTTTTTAGTCCACAAGAAAAACGTGTTTTTTTAAGTATTTTTAAGTATTTTATTTTCTCCTTTTAGTCCGTTGTTGCACGGACTAAAAAGTATGACTTGACTTACGTATCGATGATACGCAGCGTCAGCGCCTGCTCGTCTATAGCGTCAGCGC